CAAAACAAAACAAAACAAAAAAATAAAATAAAAGGAAATAAGATTTCAATAATTTTTGTAACTGGTACCAAACTATCCCATTTCAACAAAAAACCTTAACTCATATTTATTGCTGTCATGAATCATGTGTTTTAGGATTGCAGTATCCAGGTCAGGTGTATCCAGGGTCAAGTGAGGGAGCTGGCAGCAAACCCACTGCAGAAACTTGGTCCTGGCTTATCCTCATGGATGAGGTGTTGGGACAGAGGCATTTAAATAACCCCCATGTCCTAATTGTTTCTATTCCTGAAGACAGGCCAGGGCATGTAAAATGTTGATTTGTTATGTTAATATTATTGTTTGTTGTTTTGTATAATAAGTTCAAATAAAGAAATTATAACAAAATGTAACTGAAGTGGTCATTGAGAAACTATTGAAAAAAGGTGTTGAACAATTTACAATTCATTTTATTATTTTGTAAAAAAAATACTACATAAAACAGTTTCAACAGAACAAAAACAAATAACTATTTACAATATTATTGAACTATTAAACAGTACTGAGCAGAGAGTCCATGATAGCGCTGATAAATCAGATGGGCTGCCACCAAAGATCAAAGACCCTGGTTTCCCTCCTCAGCAGGACATCATCTGGGTGGACTGCAGAGCTGTTGACACGCCATCGGTCCACTGTCCACCGCTTTGCCCACGAGCCAGGCTTGCGGGGCTGGCAGACTCGACGGCTGCCATGTCACTGAAATGATTAAAGAAAGTGTTACTAATAGAACATTTTAGGTTAACATCAGTTGCTGCTGTGTTTTACTTACCTTAACAATAGTCCTGATGCCCTGGTGCAGAAACATCTGCTGCTATCTGGTTCCTCCAGACAGCCCCACCTGCAGCTTCCTGGTCAGCCTCATCCTCAGGCTCGTCCTCCGGGGCCATGATGTCACCAGCCCAAAGGCAGATGTTGTGGAGGACTGCACATTCTGTTATGATCTGAAAATGTACAATTTGTCACTGTAAACAACTGTCATAACTCTGATAAAACAATTTTGTTACTTTATATTATAAGGTCTTACATCAGGGGTGAAGGTGTGGTGTACCTCCAGTGTTTGCAGGAAGATGACTCTAAACCTGCTTTTCATCTTCTGCAGTACTGTGGTCTTATCTATACATCAGAACATTCACACTTATAATTCATATTTGATTTGTTTGAGTGTCATAATTTTCTTTAAATGTAACTACTTCTTTAGATACACGTTTGACTTTTTTTCCCCCGAGAATGTTGAAATTCTGACCCAAATATTATTCCTAATTTTCTCATAATGAGGATTAGGGTTAGGACCAGTCTTAAATTTAATGTCACTAATTATTTTAGTGACATTTAAATGTAACAAATACAAGTACATTACAAGTAGTTACATTTAAATGTAACTAAAATGAGTTATGCCTATTACTTACATTTAAGATTAATTTTCTGAAACTAGTCGATAACAAAGTAAATATATGTGTTTTCAAATGGTAAATTACCATTTACTATTCTGAAACAAGTTGATAAAGTGAAGTGACATACATTTGAGTTAATTTTTGATGCTTTTTTGAGATAAATAAATGCACCAAACATCAGTACCTATGATGTTTGCAGCTAGATTACTTTGAAGGTAAGCTTTAATGTTTTAATGTATAGTGAAATAAACCAAGCCTAAACATTTCTTACCTTGTTGCAGTCTGCTGTCAGCCTAAAATACATGAAAGTTCTGCGACGTTGAAGAAAAAGCCCGAGCTCTTCAAGAAAAGAAAAAAATGACCATTGCTTTTTCAGGCTCCATTTATCACGCTGCTTTGGAGACGTAACACCATGGTAACGATGCACAGCGTGTCCACACAAACTTACGTCTTCTGTGGGGTAGACTGTCCCATTTCACAGCCGTTTATGCAGCCGACAGGAGCAGCCTACGGCCAACGTCGGCCGCAGTCTACGTCGGCTGCAACCCACTAATTGAGACACAGCCATAGTAAGTTGTTTCTCCTGAATCTGAGATTCACCATTGACCATACTTTCTTCTCTAGAACCCCTRAATAGACCTCACCAGGGAAGCTGAAAAGTGTTGTGCTCCTGTAAAAATACATTTTTATTAAAAAAAAAGGGGGTACCACCATCTATGTCTGCCAGTTCAGTGGCACTGGCCCCAATGTCCATGCAATGTTGCAAAGTAATGTCAACCAAGACAGACCAGAAACATCCAGAGCCTTGAGGAACTCTGGGTAGATTGTGTTCACACACAAAGCCCTGCCATCACAAAGATTTTAACTTTTTTTGGTGGAGTTAAGGGTGGACCAACGTGGTTAAGGGTGGACCAACCCCAAAATTTCCAGACTCGAKCTGATAGGATTCTGAAGGTCTTCATGTTTCTATTTATTAAAACAAACCAAAATAGAKAAGCTGAAGAAATTTTGACTTATCAGTTAACTGATGTTTGTAGACATCTTTTCTTTTAGGTCTGTAAGTGGTTAAGGGAAAAAGGGCTGTAAAGTCCCATCAGGCATCCATTAAGTTAATTACATATATATTTACTATTCATATAAATCACAATGTTTGTTCCAATTTAATCCTTTTTGCAACACACCTTGAGTTCCACTCGATAAGCTTGTTGGGAGGTAGTCGTCCGTAACCCGGTGTGATGGCGGAGGAGAGCCGCGGGCTGGCCACTGAGAAGAGAAGCTGGAATCCYACAAAGCTGCCAGCTACCACGGTCAACTCTCTCGTCTCCATCACTTACCTAAACACGACAGGGAGAGAGGGAAGGGGGGTCAGGAAGGGATTAGGTGAGGGGAAGGATGAACAGAGACTGATCCACATTGACAGACTCAGTCGATGGCTGTCAGTCATCCTGGGCAGAGAAACRGAGGTGACAGTGTTGGCAGGAGGGTGACGCTGCACCCTGTGTGTTCATCCCATCCACAAAGCCAACAGGAAAGAAAAAGAGACAGGAGGGAAAAATAACATAAACTGAGAACACAGGCTGTCTATTCCAAGTGACATGAGAGCTTCAGCTGAGCTCTGCGTCAAGGAGGGAAAACAGATGAAAGGAAACTTAGAAGAACTGAAGTTGAAACAAAAGGAAAGAGTGACAAACAAAGAAAATTACTGAGGCTGAATACACTAGTCAGGGCAGGAATTCAATTTAAAATAAAAACACCATTATGCATATTTTGGAAGAGGATTACAGTGAGTTTTTGGGGCATATGAAAAATCCCCAAGAACGAAAAAAAAAAAAAAAGAAAGGCTGAGCAAAGAAAGAAAAGCGGATTTTTGAGATGAAGAAACTGGCTGAGCTCATGAGACGGTGGAGGGTGAAAAACAAGTGTAAACTCAACAATGCTGCTCATTATTCCTGTTTTATTAGATATTTTGGGTTTTATTTTTGAAATTGGTGGATCAGTGCAAATAAACTAAAATAAAATAAAGTGCTTACTTAGAGATGGAAACAACTGAATGAGAACAGTTTTCTACATTTAAGGTGTTTATCTGCTTCAACGCAAATCCAAATTGATACGGCACACATGTATAATATAAACAAACAAACAAACAAGAAAAAAAAACCCGGACATTTTCCTGAACACACTGTTAGACAAATGTAGGATTTCAATAAATTTAAGCACATGAAAACAATTCGATGTTTGATACAGTTACACAAAAACATCTGTGAAATAGGGCTGAAACGGTTTCTCGAACATCAAAAAGAAAAAATAAGTAGGTCCTCTGAAATGTTTCGAGACTTCTTCAGTYTGAGGAGTTTCAGGTGAATGTTTCATTAAAGAAGAACCCGTCCAGAGGACCTACTTATTTTTTCTTTTTGATTTTTCTACCTGGATTACTGAGATGCATCAGGATGATTCCTTGAATAATTTGAGTAATTCGATTACTAAAAATCCTCGAGGCAAATTTTCTGCCTTGAAGCTTTGTAAAAAAAAAGGTAATGTTAAAATCAGCGCACTTTTGCCGACCTGAATGTTATTTGAGTTACACAATGCTACGACCTTAGCACTTCCGCTAGCGGTTAGACTGTTGACGTGTGTATACTAAGTGCTATATTTAGCTATAGAAGGAGACAAAGAGTCCCAAAACGAGGAGCTCAGAAAATGACAGAAATTGTGAAAAGTGTGGGATAATTTAAGGGTGTGTTCAGACCAGGAAAGTCCTTTGGTCCAATTGTTTGGTCCGGACCAAAAATGGACTTTTTTTTTCTTTTGGTGCAGTTTGCATTCACATTGTGCTTTTTTGCAAATGAACTATAACTTGTAAACAAAGCCACGAGTGTGACGATCATTGCTCCCATTGGACAGAAAGGACGGGGGCGGGACTGAGCCACAGACCCTGAAGAAAACAAGGAAGTCCTGCATGCTGCGGTTCTGATGCGCACATTTTTGCTGATAGTACAACTGCAATAGCATTTAAAATGTCAGAAGCAGCTAATTTAATGGTGGTTCCGTGATGATATTCTAATTTTGGAGCAGCATCAGTAATTGTGTCCCGCAACCCAAAGAAGACGAGGTGTTCTGCGTGTTCTGACCCACTACATGCTGCAGCAGAGCTGCTAACAGGAGACGACGAAACAGGTGTGATTTCAGTTTATTTAGCTCAGCAACGGTGGCCTGTKAAGTCCAAAAAGGTGCATGTTTAATGCAGTTGTTTCGGTTAGAGTCCGGTCTGTATTCACACCAGAAGCGAACTAAAATGAACCGCACCAGAGTTCGTTTGGAAGCGGACCGAGACCACCTCAAAAAGCAGGTCTCGGTCCGGTTGTTTGATCCGCACCAGAGTTCACATAAGTGTATTCACACCTGCACAAAAGGTCCGGACCAACGCTGGAAACTCGTTTAAAGTGGAGCAAATTATCAGGTCTGAATACGACCTAAAACTAAACACAAAAGATGACAAAGCGCAATGCGCTGCACGTCCAAGATGTTTCTGCAATGGAATGAAAACAGCTGATGCATGTACCAAACGCATCTGAAGTTAAGTAAGTAAGTAAGTAAAGTTTTATTTATAAAAGCGCCTTTCACAGAAATATATCCACAAGGTGCTGTACAATCATTAACAATGTAAAACGGTGGAAAGATAAAATGAAAGAGAATAAAACATAAGCAACGTAATGAAACATCAAATCAAGATTAAATTTTAAAATTGTAACAGACACATGGTCAATGCAACAACCGGTATTGTTCAAGTTCCCTTTCCGACTAATCATAGTGGCTACCAAATCTTTTTTTTTTTTTTTTACACGGTGATTGAAATCTCAAATATACTCAATGTTTTGCTATTTTTCCACATGGGATAGCTTAAATGACTGTATTACTTCCAATGAGAATAAATTGCCACAACATTGTTTTAGCCATGAGCAATTCACTTCTTCCACAGTCTCCTAATGATCCACTCAGCAGACAGCACTTTCCTTCCTACTTTCTAAATCCTATTAAGTAAATAGACCTTTTCCAGAAACCTGTAACATGTAGTCAACAAATAAACTCATTTCTTTTGTCACTGTGACTTAAACATAGCTGACAGTAATAACTGAAAGCAGTGGAGTTTTCAATTCTTATAACAGCAGTTTTGCAGTTCATCCAATTGTCATTTCCAAACCTGTACATAACTATCAGTTTWGAATTAAAAGGTTTTTCACACAGCTTTCTATGGTTTATTGTAAATATCTGTAGAAAATCTTTCAGAAGAAAAAGTCTTCCGTTTTTAGATGACCACAACCTTGTTCAGTCATTTGAGACAAAACCTGCTTTTCTTTTAATTTTATTCCCTTGTTTTTGTTGTTTTACCTGCAGTCATTTATATTTTAGTTATGCATCTGCAGGAAAAGAGTGGAAATAAATAAACTCGTGTTATTTTCTTCAGAACACAAACACAGAGGTACACTACACTACTAAAGCTTTGATTTTTTTTCATTGTGCTATTTCAGTAATTCATATGTCTTGCAGCTTTCATCTCCAGAGGTTTTCATGCCTGCTGTCAATTTCCAGTGGAAAAATGCGAACCTGTGAAAAAAAAAGTTTATTTTCCTTCATGCATATTGTTTAAATATCTGAGCTGAGGAAAGARAAAAAGCAAAACCAGTGAGAGGTTGATCGACCTGATGAGATAAAAAAAAAAAATTAACAACTTGGTTCTTATGAAAACCAATGCTGGATTTATCCTTTAGCAGTAGACGGGATTTTGCAAAGATTCTGAACAAAAGGTAGAAACTACTAAATGTGTGACACCTCGTAAAATATCTTCCACAAATACAGTAAATGAGGCATGTTTTAAACATCRTTATAATTCCACACACAACAACAAAAATGTGAAATAAACTTGGTGTGAAACAAAAACTTTCTATTTTGTTTGCCAAACAAAAAGACAAAATAAAACTTTAAAAAGATAACACATTTGCWGTAACATTATTCACCATTATTGCTGTTGTGGAAAAGTAAGGATTCAAATTTCTCATTTAAAAACTTGAATCAAAGAACAATGAACTGACCACAGAGAATTTTTATTTTCTCATACTTCAGTTATCACTGCTATTTAAGGGAAAAGAGCACTAAGTTTGTTTTGTGTGTGCTTGTGTGTGAAACAGACATATTTCATACAGGTTTCATAAAGCAGTCATTGGGTTCAAGTCTACAGCTGACTGACTTTTGAAGTCATTCTAAATAAATATGGCTACCAGAGTTAATTGAAATTAACAAGAATGGCTGTAACTTGGTCAGCTTTACAGATACTGAGCTAATATTTGGTATGGTAGTAGCTGAGAGTCATCCTAAAACATTCTCTGTTAGCCAACACAACTCATGCATAATATAATTAACAAGTTCAGCCATAACTCTGTCCCTTCTCAGTTTAGGATGATTTAAGGTTCAAAATTTGCTATAAAAGGTGGTGGATAATATGCATTTCTTTCCCTTGACCATTTTGTATTAACTACATTGCATAATTCAGTGAAAGAACAAGTGGCCTACAAGTTAACTGTGATATGACATTTACTGTTTAGTAATTTTACTTTAGTGACAATCTGGATTTTTGTTTCTGTGGTWGTAATTAACATGATCAACCAGAAAAATGGCACTTTCAATTGAACAGTGCCTTTATTCAAATTTTCTACCTACATGCATATTTTAGTTGCTTTGTTAGTTGCTAAAGATCTTTAAAAACTAGGCCACAAACAAACAAAAAACAGCAAACAGTTTATAAGTGCAGCTGCATGTTTAACAATAAAATGTTCACTGCCTGCATTTACTTTATTCTTTTGACTTTATGAGTACAGTTTCTTTTAAACTTAACAAAAAGGGTGATTTTAAATCCTAGAGTTAAAGCATATAACATTAGCCTGGTAAAATCCAGCCCCTTGTCCTTCACTTTGCTTCATACGAGGGTCTGGACTCTCAGCTATAAAGCAGCGATTCTTGCTGGAGGCGTGGCCTCTGTTGAAGTTTAAAACAATTGGATCGGTTGGTGTGCCAGCTCCACTCTGAAGGAGGCTAAGCTAAGAAGCTAACCGGAAAGTGTGCACGCTTTAAACAATCCTACTGAGAGGAGAGAATTACAGAGCTGAACGAGACGCAAATTTATTTTAATTTGGAAGCCTTATCAACACGGACTGGCTTCATTCACTTCTTCCACTGCCGTATGCTAAACTCACAAGCAGACACTGCGCAGAAAATCAACGTCGTTCAAAACTCCGCCTTCTGTTTGCTGACTAGTCCACGTAAAATAAACTACAAGCAGACA